GGGCCAGTTTGCAGGGTGCGGCCCCGCGGCCACGGACGGGCCCGGCCTGCGGATCGAAGGCCTCCCGTCACGCCCCACCACGCCCCCTTGTCGCGCGCGCCGTGAAGAGTGAAAAGGGGAAGAGTCTTTACGGCGGCCGCGGCCGCCAGGAGCGAGCAGGGGTCGGGCCGGGTCGGGCCGTCGGCTCGGGGGCCGCGGAGGGGCAAATGATGCGTTCGACACTCTTGCACTTGCGTGAAGTACGACTGTCAGACATGGGACGCCTATAACTTTAGAGCGTCCGACAAACTCTGAAAAACTCAACAGTGTGCATTGAATGCTGATAAATCAGCAATCATGATTGCTTATATATCAGCAATCATCAATGACCACGTTTAGGTTTTCGGATAATATTTCCTTTCGTGGACAGCATTGGAAATTGATAGCATTTCCAGATTCCTCGTGAAAAGAGCTTTCAAACGAGCTACTGCGTGATAGGGTTCAAATTGACCGTAACTATAACTTGGTTTACATTAACGACATTTTCGAGAGGCGGGCCATTTCGAAAGTGAACCTGACTATTAGACCATGATTGTTAGACTGGTAATTTGAACAGTTTTAAATGTCCAATTTTTCATTGCTAACTCTGAAGTTGCACACTTCAAAATGCTCAACTTTACCATTATTCTCTTTTAAGTATTCAAATATCTAGATAAACATTTGAAAATGTGCAACGCAGTGTTGAGTACTTGCATGTGCAAGCTCACTGTGAAAAATAGTAGGTAGGTTTACAGGAAAATTTTCCTTGACGCAAGTTGTAAAATTACAATTTGGAATCGTCAAAACATATCAAACACATGCAGTACGTATCGACTTCAAATCCATTGGCGAGTAAAAAATGTGCTCTCGTGAATTTAAAACTTAAATTATAATTCAAGTTTACAAAAATTTTGTTAATTTACGACGATATTTTTTACAGTGGCTACTTGCACACTTTATCAGTGTCAGAACTAATTCATAGCTACCAGAGCGACAGTCGATTGGCTGCCTTCAAATATGTAATGTGGTTAGTTCTGAAGACTAATCTCCTCTTTGTGGCACACAATGAGAGATTAGCCACGGGTCATCAAAGAGCTCGATCCACCAGGTCACCCCCGTAAGGACTGACACCTGTGGCTTCCAAAGGATGAGAGCGCCAGTGCCGGCCACACGTCACGCGGAAACCAAGTATCGCGAAACTACGCAACTCTATTTCTACAGCCAGAATCTCCAACACCCTGACAAGGAGACTTAGGTGTAAATTCCCGATCTCCTTTAAACTCGGTATATTTGCTTCTTATCCGTATAGATGACGACCGCCGGTCAAATTTTGTGCTGAAGTCCACTCGGGGTACCTTATAGGAACGTATTATGAAAAAAGGTTCGATATTGGACACAAACTGATGGAAGGCGTATACAAATCGAAAAATGGAAGAGAAACTACCCCCCCCCCCCCCTCCGACAACCACACATTCTTAATCGGACGATCACTTCATTTTTTTAACGTGAAATGTCTATTTTTTGGGAACTATAGGGAGTTTTGACATATGAACTTCCGCACAAAATTTGAGGCGCAATAGTCATCTACAGGGATAAGAAGCAAATATACCGAGTTTGAACCTAATCGGGGATTCACACATGTAGTATTAACTTTGGCGCTCAATGTTCACAGGCCAGGTATGCAGGACATGCTAAATCCTCGCCACACTGATAAGCTAACAAGGGAACCTTGTCAGGTGCGAGGTCAGGTGTAAATCTCTGATTCCACCGAAATTCGGAAAATTTCAAGGTTGTTTATCAGTACACACTAGCGTTCAACTCGCATTCAACTCGCGTTCAACTAGCAAAAACTCTCGAAAAACTGAAGTCCGCCTTCAAGTCGCGCCTTACTCGCGGCAACTTGCCAACTCGCCAACTCGTTGTACACCTATTTTGGAGGTGGGGGACCCTCGCTGTGAATACTCTTCAGAGAATACCGTTTGGAACCTTGCATAAAGCTTCAAAATTTCATTCATGTAGACGCAGTATAGCCTACGTATAAAAAAGGTATTTACACAAAATGTATTGATTATTGCCATTATTGGCATTGAACCGCATTGAGCACTACCTTTTGTAGCAATGAACGGCGCAAAGGCAGCTCGGTCAGAAATTATACCTTCCCAGTGGCAATGAGTCGTCCACTGCCATTCCAAAGGCAGTATCCATTGCCAATTTTGGATATAACAGTGTAGTAAGTAACGCATACAGAGGAGGTAAAAACTACATGGACACATGTGAGTTTCGCTTTACCACCCCTTCACCGTCCCCCTCCAAAGAAGCAAGCGGATCCGCGCCCATCCAATCCGAATTACGGGCGATGTGTCCCCGCGATACACCGTTCGGCTGGGCCGCTTGGACAGCACGTCGTTGGCCGTGAAAGTCCTCAACAGGATATCGTGAATGTCCTGAGCAGGCGTGGGACGTCCTGGACAGGACGTCTAGCACAGGATGTCCTGGGCAGGAAGTCCGAGTAGGGGGAAGGGATGGAGGGGCGTGAAAGCTTTGCTACCGTGAATTCTGTTTCCCTGCACGTCTTCCCTGCCCTTACCTCCACCCTCTCTCCTCTCTTCACACACACTGCCCTCTCTTCCAAACACACACACACACACACACACACACACACACACACACACGCACAGACATGCATCCACGTGGGGCTCTACCCTCTCATTCTGTTCGCACGCCCGGGCCGTCTCGTATTCAAATGGAGCGTGGTCATTGCTCTTCCACTACACTGCTCCAGTTTCAATAACACCCTGAAAGTAGGCCGCTTTAAAAGGTGTTCTTCCAACATCTTCCTTAAAAACAAACAATACCTATACACTGTCAAAAAACCTGTACTGAGAAACAGAATAATTCATACAAATCGTCCTGTACTTCCATACTTCGGTCAAAATCTCTTCGACTGGTATGTGAGGGATAAAGACTTGACATTGACTGGAAAGAACTTTCCCCCAGAATAAAGTACAGGGCAAACTACAGGATTTCTACACATTGAAAGCAGTCAGTAAGTTACACTGAACATACTAGCAGTGATACTTTCTTGAGCGAGGCTAGGAGGGAAAGGGATGAAGGGTGCCTCGTTTGTTTGACCACCATTGAAACGATAGTGAAGGGTGTTCCACCGCCTCGGATAATTCCGCAACGACAGCTGCGAGGCCGATGCAAGGCACTAAAGCCGATCCCAGCGACACGCCGCCCCGCCCCGCCCCG